GTTGTTTTTCTTTTTTTTTTTTTCCTTTTTAAATACAAATCCGCATATTGATTTTTAAACAAACAAACAACACCACCCCCCCCCGCACGCCTCTGGGAGGGAAATAGCCAGGTGAAATCTCACTCTGTTTCCATGGACAACCCGTCCATTATCACCCAGGTGACTAACCCCAAAGAGGAGGAGATCCTGTCCTGCGCTCAGGATAAAGGTGAGCTGCCTTCTCTCTTTCTCTATGGTTTACTTTTTTTTTTTTTTTTTTTTTTCTCTTTTTTTTTTTTTTTCTCTTTTTTTTTTTTTTTCTCTTTTTTTTTTTTTTTCTCTTTTTTTTTTTTTTTCTCTTTTTTTTTTTTTTTCTCTTTTTTTTTTTTTTTCTCTTTTTTTTTTTTTTTCTCTTTTTTTTTTTTTTTCTCTTTTTTTTTTTTTTTCTCTTTTTTTTTTTTTTTCTCTTTTTTTTTTTTTTTCTCTTTTTTTTTTTTTTTCTCTTTTTTTTTTTTTTTCTCTTTTTTTTTTTTTTTCTCTTTTTTTTTTTTTTTCTCTTTTTTTTTTTTTTTCTCTTTTTTTTTTTTTTTCTCTTTTTTTTTTTTTTTCTCTTTTTTTTTTTTTTTCTCTTTTTTTTTTTTTTTCTCTTTTTTTTTTTTTTTCTCTTTTTTTTTTTTTTTCTCTTTTTTTTTTTTTTTCTCTTTTTTTTTTTTTTTCTCTTTTTTTTTTTTTTTCTCTTTTTTTTTTTTTTTCTCTTTTTTTTTTTTTTTCTCTTTTTTTTTTTTTTTCTCTTTTTTTTTTTTTTTCCTAATTTTATTTATTTAATTTTTTTCTTTCTGGAATTCTCTGCTTCAAAACGCACGTAGTAACAACTTGCATTCTTCAGCGACCGTATAATCCTCTCCAGGCTGCTGGGAATAGAGGAGGGTTTGTTGGGGTTGGGTTGTGTTTTTGTTTTTTTTTTTTTTAATGTGGGATGAAGATATTTGCATGAAGGTCTCTGAAACTGCTGGCTGGATACAGCTGGGAACTTGTTACAGTGTTTAAAGATTGCCTGGAATCGGTTATTTCCATAAAATACTCTTGCTCCTTGAGGGTGGGCGAGGTAACTTTGTAAGGTGGTCACTTTGTAGTTGGTGCCCTGCTCCAGGGAAAGGAAAGGATACCTGTGCTGGATGTGTGGGAAGGTTTTGAAATCTCGGCTGTAAAGATCTTAATTATTCCCTTTTCTCTCCTTATTTTTTTGGGGGGGAAAAAAAAAAGAGGGTTCTGATTTCTCTCTGCTTTCCTGCATTCCTCCCTCCGTCGCGTTTAGGAATCTGTGCAGATTTTCAGGTTTGTTGTTGGAGGAGACTTAACGTGTCTGGGGAAGAAACATGGGTTCCTTTTAAAAGCGGGCTCTATTTGCTCTGTCGATAAAGAGTTGTCGCTTGCGTAAGGCATCGCACTGAGGCTGCCTTTTACTCCGAAATAAGGTGAATCCAGCTTGGCCAGAGGTGCTGCTTCTCCTCAAGAGTCTAGACATTGACGATTGACCTTAACCTTGTTTCCTTTGGGAAGCTCGGAGGGGGTTTTTTGGGGCTGTAAGTGGTTGTGTCCTCGCGACTGGCGATGAGGAAGGTACGGGTAAGCGGCAGGATTTGAGTTCTGGGGAGTTGTGTGCAATCACTTTCGGATTCTGGGAGCTATTTGGGTGCTGAGTTTGTGCTTTGTTACAGGCAATGCTGGTAAAAAGGGGGAGAAAGGACAGAAATGAGAAATAAGAGTGTGTGGCAACGTTGGTATCGTAATAGATCTCTGAGTGGTCTTCCAAAAGTGGTAGATTGATATATCTCCCCCTAAAATCCATGCTTTTAGTGTTCAGAAAGCTTCCATTTTTGTGTAGCTCATCTTGCCAACAGCGAGGGGTCCTGTGTCGGTGGAGAAGTTGCTCCCTGTTACTTTTCAAAGGAAAAGCTGTATGTGAAATCCCCATCTTCTCATCTCACCAGCGCTGGCTGCAGAAGCAGCATGCAGGTCGATTTAAAAAAAAATAAAATAAAAATAAAAATGCCATCAGGTTGGGGGTTATTTGAACAAAAATTGGTTATTTGTGTTGGGTACAGGAGTGCTTACGTAACTCTCCAATTCCTGTCCCTCGTGAAGTGGCACTTTCAGTGCGAGGCCTTGTTTGTCTCGAGAGATTTCTGATGTTTTCCTCCGTTTTGGCGGTGTTGAGCGTGGGGCAGCTTCAGTACCTGAGGTGCTGGTGCTCTGCTCTACCAACCCTCCTAAGACCTGGTCTGGAGGAGACTTAACATGCTGCCGTGCTCAGATGTTGTGGTCTTAACAGCTTACGTTCTTGTACGTCCTGGGAGAGCTTCATCGATATTGTTAGCAGCTGGTTGAAATTTTAGTGTGTAAAAAGCCAGTTGAGACAAGTACGAGGAGAATTTGACAGCTGGAAAGAAGAGAGTGAGCATCCACATCAAACAAGTGTCTTCAGAGTCCTCGGTACAGTGAGCTACGCTGCGGAGCGAAAATATGCATATAACTTGCATAACTATGCAGTAACTTGCATAATGTGCATTGTGTTCCTTCTATTGGTTTGTCTTCGGCAGAAAATCGTGATGGTCTTTAATTGCATGGCGGGGGCTCTTCGGGCTGCGTGTGAGCAAGGGTGGGCTGGGGGAGAGCGGACGGAGGGTTGGTGGAGTTTGAGACCAGAGGAAACTTCAGCGTGATCTTAATACAGGAGGTGAAATAATGGTGGTTTTTTCTGAATTTTATTTTTTTTTTTAACGTGGTTGAAGTGCATGCTTTGGTTTGACTCTGTGGTGAGACTCTCAAATCACACCAGCACAACTTTTGCAGAAGGAGGGTTGCGGGTTTCTACCTTTTTTTTTTAACCTAGCTTTCTCCTACCTCTTCCACCACGGCTTTTGCCCACCGTTGGAGGTAGGGAGCTTGGGAGAACCCGTTGTGCTACCTGCCTTCCTCGCTTGGCTGCGTATCGCGTCACCCCATTTTCTGTTAGAAATCTTAACAGTTTTAGCAAAGCCTTTAGGTCCGAAGAGCTACCGGAGAGCCCGGAGCTGCTGTGGTGAATACAGAGAGCTTCCTGGTGGGAGACTGGTGTTTAAAGTGAGTCTTCCCTGCTAACTCAGACTGAACTGAATGTGTTGGTACAAAATGGCTAACAAACATGTTAAGGCACAGTGAATTAACTCTTTATTTAACGAGTACAAGAAACGCCCGAGCCTATCTGCTGAAATTTCTACTGTGCGAGCAAGGGCTGTCCGGTTTAATTAAAACCTGCTTTTTCCTCTGATTTTAAGCCTTTGGCTGCAGAAATATGTTCCAGGGTACATAGTGGCTTGTGGTGGCTTTGGGAGTCAGGGTTTTCTTATAGAGGTTTTGGGACCTTCTGCCGGTGTTTCTCGTGGAAAAAAATAGATTTCTTTCTCTTGTTGAGCTGGAGAGAAGCAGTTTTACTGTAGCTGAGCGGCTGCTAAATAATGCATGTGTATACCTTCAAGTGTTTGATTTCTTTCCAAGATTTTTTTTGGAGCATTTAATCAGCCACGAGTCCAGCATTTAGCTTGATTTATTTTTTTCTAAATGTATTTATGTTTTAAAAGGAGCTTGGTGTGCAGTATATGCTTATGCCAAATTTCTCATGTGCAAGGGAGCGCAATTCGCAAGAAACAGAGCTGTTTTCTGGTCGTGGGGCAGTTATGTTTTTAGGTAAATATCATGCTTTGCAAATAAAAATGGCTGAATGTTTTCTTGCTAATCCAGATGCACTAAAAATGAGCTTTTGAGAGAAGTGAAGCGGTGACAACTTGTTAAAGAGGAGCTTATTGGTACTAAGATGGAATTGTTACCATTTATTTTTAACAAATAGTAAAACATTTTGAAGGTGGAAAAAACCAGATCTTGGTACATGAACCATTGCCTAATATGTTGCCACATGGTGGTGCACTGTATTTAGTTGTCTGTCAAAAGGAAAGCTGAGCAGGGAAAGTTGCTACAATCATGTTTTATTGTTATTGTAATGTTTGCTCTGAAATGCCAGTGGTGTTCTCCTGCTCCTGGAGGATGTTGGTCCTTATCTGCGTCGTTAAATCAGTTCTGGGAAATAGAAACTTACATTCTCCCAATTGGAAGTGATACGTAGGCGATTTAAAAAAAAAAAAAAAAGCTAACAGGGAATTAAATTCTCCATGAATTTAGTGCTCAAAGTATTTTTAAAGTAATGAAAATAGTAGTTCTTCGCAGAAATATTTTATTTTGAGGTCATTTGGCACTTCTGGAAATTGGCAGCATTATCAAGACTTGAAATTTAAGTGGAGAGATAAGTACGTGAAAAAGGGTTTGTTTTACCAGCAATCAATGTGAGCAACTAAGAAAAAATAGAAATAAAAATTACAAAGAAAAACAAAATCCGAATCTCCATAGAATCAGTTCTATGGATAAAACAGACTGCTTATTTTAGAAGGGAAGTATTAGTTCTTATTAATTAGTTGAACAGTGACCTCTAATGTAAAATCTATACAGTTAAATCTATAAGAAACAGGGCAGAGCTCATGAGTCTTTGCACAGAGTGTGGCGTAGAGAGTGTGATCACGGCTGGGTAACAGGCAGGCAGTCCAAAGAAGTGAATTTCCTTTTTTTTTTTTTTTTTTTACTGACATGCTTTAATTTGATCCTCATAAATGATGCAAATTCTTGGCAGTTTCTGTGTGCCAAGTTAAGTAGTAGCATAATAATAGTCCAGTCCTCCTTCAAGTACCAAATCCTCTGGGCTGTGGTGTTGTGTTTTCTCTCTTCAGATACGTCTTTCCTGACTCCTATAAAATTTGTGTGTCAGCTGAGCATCCATTTTCAGTTATTTACAGTAACCGAATGTTTTAGTGTCCCTGCAGAAGTGTATTTTCTTCTGCAATAAGTTATTTGAAGAAGGTTCACTTTATAATTCTTTTTAATGAACAGTGCAATTCCCCAAGGATGTTTTCACAAACAGGCAAAGTTTTTTTGCCTTCCTTTCTTTCAAATGAAATTGGAAAAAACAGCAGTGAGACCAGTATTCATTATCATTTAAAACAACAAGTTCTTAAGATCTCAAATTAAAAGCCAAAGCGAGCATCTTTAATTGTGTCTTCAATAAAAAGCATTTTGAAAATACATGGAAATATTTTGAATATTCTTTTTTTGCCATTACGTCATCAGGATTCGGAGTGCTCAAAC